CGGGGCCACCATGAGAACTTGGCCATGGACACGGGGCCACCACAGGGACGTAGCTATGGAGATGGGGCCACCAGGAGAACATGGCCATGGGGATGTGGCCACCAGGAGAACATGGCCATGGGGATGTGGCCACCATGGGACATAGCTATGGCCACGGGGACACCTTGGGGACCACTGACCGGGGACGGCGGGGGGGACGGTGCGGCGCAGGGCGGTGACGGTGGCCATGGCGATCTCCTCGGGGCTGTACTTGGTGGGGCAGGAGTGCCCAGGGGTCACCATGTTGGGCTTCAGCAGGGTCCCCTCCAGGTAGACGTGGTGGTCGCTCAGTGCCTTGTAGACAGCTGCCAGCACCTGGGGAGGATGAGCAGCATGGAGTGCCCCAGCACGGCGTGGCACAGCGCGGCACAGTGCCCGCCCTGCTGCCCACCCCACTGCTCACCTTCTCTGTCACGTACTGGCACCGCTTGAGGTCGTGGTCACCATCGGGCAGGATCTCTGGCTCCACGATGGGCACGATGCCGTTCTGCAAACACCAGGCAGATGCCATCACGGGGACATCCCTGGGCATCGCCCTGGCCCCATGGCAATGTGGGCCAATGCCTGGACCCGGAGGGCGATGCTCAGCCCTAAGGTTCAATGCCCACCCTTGTCAGTGATGCCCATCCCAGTGGGGTGATGCCTGGCGCCACGAGGTGATGCCCAACCTGGGAAGGTCAACTCTTGGCCCCGTGGAGCAATGCTTGTGCTTGTGGGGTGGTTCCCAGGCTCGTGCAGCAATGCCTGGCCCCATGGGTGATGCCCACCCCATGGGGCAACGCCTGGTCCTGGGAGTCAATGCCCCTCTACATGAGGTGTTACCTTGCCCATGGGTTGATGCCCACCCCATGGGGTGATACTCAGACATGGGGGCAATGCTGAGCCCCATGGATCTGTGCCCATTCCTCTGGGGCAATACCTGGCCCTCTAAGTCAACACCCATCCTATGGGTCAATGTCCATCCGTGGGGTGATGCCCAGCCACAGACACGTACCTGCTGGCAGATGCTGGCGTAGCGGGCCAGGACGTTGGCGTTCTCCATGATGGCGAGCGCGGAGGGGGTGTTGTCACTGATTTTCAGCACGCAGCGCCACTTGGCAAAGTCAGCCCCGTCCTTCTTGTACTGGGCACAGCGCTCCGACAGCCCGTCCAGACCTGCCGGGCAGTGTGTCAGCCCCACAGTGCCGCAGCCCTGAGCCCCCAGCTCCCAGCCCCCTACCCACTCCACCTACCCTGCGCGGTGGTCTCGCCATCCGTCCCGGCCAGCGGCACGACGCCCTTGTCCACCTGTAGAGCGAAGGGGAAAGCACTGCTGAGCCCCACCAGCACGCTCCAAGCACCCTCGGCACCCCACAAACCCACCGGACACCCTCCCACCACACCTTGATGCCCACGACGATGCCCTTGTCCTTGATCATCTGGACAAAGGGGGTGCCGTCGTCAGCCTTCTGGTACATGGTCTCGTGGAAGAAGATGACGCCCCCGATGCATTTCTTCACCCGGCTGTCGGCGCTGAAGAGGATCTGGCGGTACAGCCGGCGGTTCTCCTCCGTGTTCTCCACCCCGATCTGGTTGAGGCGCTTCGCCATGCTCCCTGCCAGCACCCAGCACCCTCAGTTGGCGTGGGGAAAAGGGGTGACGGGACAGACCCCCCCCAGCCCCTGGGCCCCCGCACTGACCTACGGACTCATCGGCAGCCAAGATGCCCTTGCCCGGGGCCACGATACGCAGCGCGATGTCCGACAGCTCCTTCTTCTGCTCGGCCGTCAGCGCGGGGTATTGGTGCGTCATGGTGGCGGTGCTGGCTGCGAGCGGACGGGGGCTGAGTCACGCGCCGACGGGGCGGCCCCCGCACCCCAACC